CTTCAGGACTGTAATTTATAACATATTTGATCGTGCCTGTAAAAATGGCATGCATTTCTTGTAAAATTACTCGCTTATACGAAATACAAATTGTAATCTTTAATATTATTCAGTAAGATATATACATAACCTCGCCTAGATTACTAGGTCACTAGTATTCTAGCCGGTCCCAAGCCCGGATAAAGAGGGAGGGTTGGGGCGTGGTGCTAGCAACTCCACCCCCAAAACTTAACCAAACTGCTACTAAAACTTCAACGCACAAATATATTCAAAATTCTAAAAATACAAACAATAACCTTATTTTTCGCTGGAATCGGGGAAGTGAAATGACGCAGGCTGGTGAAAGCCTTCGGGAAGCCAGTCAGCCGATGTGCCTTCTTTCGATGAAAGCAAAAATAAGGATGGGGACGTGGAATATTCGTACAATGTACGAAACTGGAAAGGCTGCTCAGGTAGCCGCAGAAATGAGGAGATATAAAATAGAAGTATTGGGAATCTGCGAGAGCAGATGGACGGATGTAGAAGGAGCCAACTACCAACTGGAGAGACAATAATCTACTCCGGTCACCCAGAGGACAATCACGAGCACACCGAGGGAGTAGCCATCATGATGTCACCAACAGCGGCTAAAGCTCTCATGCAGTGGGAACCAATCTCCTCCAGGATAATGACAGCCAGGTTCAACTCAAAAGGAAAAAAGGTTACAATCATTCAATGCTACGCGCCTACAAACGTCTCAGAAAAAGAGAAGAAGGAGGATTTCTACAGTCAACTACAAACAGTAATGGACAACGTCCCAAAGAGCGATATCAAAATCCTGATGGGTGATATGAATGCGAAACTGGGAGGAGACAATACAGGAAGAGAACTCACCATGGGTCGTGAGGCCCTCGGTGAAATGAACGAAAATGGTGAACTCTTCTCAGACTTCTGCACCTTCAATGATTTGGTGATTGGTGGCAGTGTGTTCAAACACAGGGATATACACAAGGCAACATGGATTTCACCAGATGGACACACCAAAAACCAGATAGACTTCATTTCAATCTCAAGGAAGTGGAGACGGAGCCTACTGGACACAAGATCGAGGAGAGGAGCAGATGTGGGTTCAGACCACTATCTAGTACAAGGGACTTTCAAGGTGAAGCTGAAAGCCTCGAGGATACCTGGGGATAGGCCACAATGCAAGTTCAACACTCAAAAACTGAAGGACACAACCACAAAGGACATTTTCACTGCCACTGTCAGAGCAAAGCAGGAAACACTACGTGGCACCACTGAGGAATCATCCGTGGAAGACCATTGGAACTCTCTGAAGGTAATTTTCAACGAAACGTGTTCAACGGTTTTAGGAAGAAAGAAGAAACAAGACAAGGAATGGCTCTCAACAGACACTTGGAAGCTAATAGAGGAGAGGAGAATGGTGAAAGAGAAAATGATTCAATGCAAAGATGGACAAGAGAAAGAGACGCTGAGCTCAACTTACACAGCACTGGACAAAGAAGTGAAGAAGAGTGCCAGGAAGGATAAAAGACAATTCTACGACAACCTGGCTACTGAAGCTGAGAAGGCAGCAGGCAAAAGGGACCTGAGGACACTATATCAGATAACCAAGTCTCTATCCGGGAAGAGATCAACACAAGTGAAACCTATAAAAGACAGCCAAGGGAACCCAATTACCAAAGAAGAAAGACAGATTAAACAATGGGCGGACCACTTCAAAGGACTCTTGAACCGACCACCACCTACAACCCGTCCAGAAATACCAACAACAGCACGTACACAACTGCAAGTTGACACCAATCCTCCAACGAAAACTGAAGTCTTGAATGCAATCAAGCTTCTGAAAGCTGGAAAAGCAGCTGGACCAGATGGAATACCCCCGGAAGCACTGAAAGCGGACCCAGAGACGACAGCAGATATGCTGACTCCATTATTGCAAAAGATCTGGAAAGAGGGAAAGGTGCCTACTGACTGGAGGAAAGGTTACCTCGTGAAACTACCAAAGAAGGGCGACTTAGGACTCTGCAAGAACTGGCGAGGAATCATGCTCCTGTCGACGCCAAGTAAAATCCTGAGTCGCATCATCCTGGAGAGAATAAAGGACGCACTGGATACAGAACTCCGACCAGAACAAGCTGGATTCAGGAAAGGCAAATCATGTTCTGACCAAATTGCAACTCTACGCATCATCATCGAACAAAGCATGGAATGGCAATCAAACCTCTACCTCAACTTCATAGACTTTGAGAAGGCCTTCGACAGCGTTGACCGCGAAGTAATTTGGAAACTTCTCAAGTACTACGGCGTACCCCAAATATTCATCAACCTTATTCAACAGCTGTACGACAACGGCACATGTCAAGTGATCCACAACGGAAAACTCAGCGAGGCGTTTGGAGTAAACACAGGAGTCAGACAAGGGTGCTTATTATCACCAATGATATTCCTAATTGTGGTGGACTGGATTATGCGTCAGACAGTGGGAAACGAGAAGACAGGGATATCCTGGACCGACGTGAAGAACCTAGAAGACCTGGATTTCGCGCGTGGATGATTTATGTTTGATGTCACACAAAATCGAAGACTTACAAGCGAAAACCAACAAACTGGTCGAAGAAGCAGCAAATACAGGACTGCAGGTGAACATAGACAAGACGGAGGTTATGAAAATAACCAACCAACAACAACAGCAGCAGCAACATCCAGCGCCAATCACCATCAACGGGAGGGATTTGAAAGAGGTTACTTCATTCACTTATCTAGGGAGCATTGTCTCAACTACAGGAGGAACGGGCGAGGATGTCAAATCGAGAATCGGGAAGGCGAGAAACACATTCATCAACCTGAAACCAATCTGGAAATCTTCGTCACTCAGCCTGCATCAACAACAAAATTCGGATTTTCAATACAAACATCAAGTCAGTCAGTTCTTCTATACGGATCAGAAAGTTGGCCAGTGTGTCACAAAGAATATTTCCAACAGCCTGTTGCAGACATTTATCAACAACTAACTGTCTTCGCTCTATACTGAAGATCAGATGGCCGGAAAGAATCACCAACAAGAAGCTATGGGAACAAACAAAACAAGAACCAATCGCTCAACAAATATGCAGGAGAAAGTGGAGATGGATTGGACACTCCCTGAGGAGGCTGCTGGGTGACATCGCGCGTCAGGCCATAGCTCGAGTGGAACCCGAAAGGGAAGCGGCGAGTGGGACGTCCAAGGGTGACATGGAGGAGATCGTGTGATGAGGAACTGAAACAGTATGGACTAACATGGATGCAGGTGAAAAGTACAGCAGAAGACAGAAACAAGTGGAAACGTGCAGTTGAAGCCCTATGTTCCACTAGGAACCTAAGGGAACAATAATGATATAATAAGATATATACATAAAATCCGCTAGATGAATGATTTTCGAGTACGAGTTTTATCCGATATAATTACACAGGAACTAATTTCGATACTTTTGGCAGTGATCTATCTGTATTAAATAATTGTGAACGCGCTGTAACACTACTTATCCATTGTAATTTTAAGAACATACGCAGTTCTTTCTGCGGAAAAGATTGAAATCTACCACCTTCGAAGCTCCATATGGAACGTCAGGGCGCAAACAATGGCTCTGGCAGTGAATCATGAGACCAGTTGGTTACCATCAACCTTTTCTCGCAGACCAATTTTTCCGTGTGTCTCTTATTTTAAGTGAAGGGAGAATACTGCGGTAAATCAGAATTTGCAGGAACAAGAGATCAATAAATGTGATGAAACGATCTAAAGTAACATGCCAGTAGCTGGGATTATTCTAATTCGAAGCCTTGCCAAAAGTGAACTCAGAAGTATTTGTGTCACGTCGTCACAAAGCTTCCTAAGAAGTGCGGTGAAAATCCATTTCCTGACCACCGTTCAAATGTCTCACTTGCTGGTGTTGAACAATTTTGGTGATGGACCTCACTTATCACAGTTGTGATAACAATTTTGGCAATACTGCTGTAGGTTCACTCCCGTAGAGTGCTGATTGCATGTGAAGAACGTCGTTATTCGTCGGTACCTTAGTGCTAACGTAAATGCTTACTCGAAACACTGCAGTACGGTTGGAGTATTGTCAGAATTGCTGACAGAATTTCATGATAGTAGTATGTCTCAAATATGCTCACCTGTATGAATTCTAATGTGGGATTTAATGACAGGGCGAAGGTTTTCCAGAGATTGCTGTAGTTCGCATGGCATATTCCAAGGAAGCGTCGCTGGATGATAGGTTTTCTAATCCTGATGCATATGCTACATCACGTGCACACATAACTCAAATAAAGTTTCTATCCATTGGGGTTTGGGTACTTTAGGCTGTGCACTGAAGTTGGATGACAGCAAAATTCAACTTGAGATTCACTTTCCCCTATAACTTATTCTTGTTTACATAAAATGTGATGGCGACACTGTTAATTTTCAACCTAGTCACAGAATGTGAAGACTAATTACTGAATCCTAGTTTTATTCAGAACAATTCTGCAGTTTGGTATTATTATGCTTAGAATAATTTCGGAAGCATAACCTATGTAAACTCGCCCATGGAGGGTTCGGACAAGTTAAAAATAAATTTTAAAGTCCACGAAACCAAATTAGTTCTCATTCACGCAAATCCCATGATGCATTCTTTGGAATATGTGAAAGTCTGACTCACAAAAAATCATTCTTCGTTTCACACTGATTTATCACGAACACTTTTCAAAGTAGATGGACAGTAAAGCTTTTATTGCATTTATTACTACTGCACCTAAACCATCACATGTTTCGACTCCCTTCTGTAATCCTAAAAGTGAAGATAAAATTAATTCTTCTCGTTCTTAACAAGAAAATCTAGAATTTAATTAAGAACTGTCAACCGAAAATTAAGACTAAAACGCTGATTAGAATAGAAGTACTTCTAACTTATAATTAGACTGACAGCTTTCACTTGCAAAAATTGAAAAATGAACAATCTTTTGTTATAATCGACCACGGCTTCGAGCCGCACACAAAACTAACATTAGAGCGGCCTGGTTACTTGAGGTTTTAGTGAACAACATGCCAGCTGAAAAAATCACACATAGTGGAGGTAGCCGCAAAGGAAGCGAACATAACGTTCGAGGAAGTAAGTACAGACCCTCAAAACCTGTTCAATTTTTGTTATTTGTATTGGAAAATGGTAGCGTTTACGCAAGACCTGATTGAATACATCCGTCTTTTGATGATAGAGTGTATTCGTACAGTTAATTATTCGTATGACTACTATAAACGAAGCTTAGTAAGTGTCTTCAACTTGTTTAGCGTGTGCCACTATGACCTAATTATACTTATATCGCTGTATGTTGTCCTGATTACTAAGACAGCACCCAAGAAAACGACGCTAAGCATGAAATGATTCCCTACTGTGAGTTTTAGCCTACGTGAAAACACCAGCACACGCAATGAAGATGTGAAGGAACAGCTTTGTAAGTTGAACAAACTGGGTGTTATATCTGTCTCGTAGTTTTTAGTTGTTATAACCATGACCACAAAGCAGTACCTGTTATGCATCCACTGCAGTAATGTATGACTTCTACAAGAAATCTCACTACACTTGTATTACATGCATTTAAATGTATTAAGATATCTTAATAAAGATGTCTTGCTTTCAAACCGTGTTGACTATGTCGTGCAGTGATGTCAGTTCTTGAGTTTTTGGATCGTTTTATGGGTTTATCAATATGATTGCATTATACTTAAGCGCTTAACGGCTTCCTATGTAATGCAAACCAATTCGTTGCATTGTCGGTAACAGTAATTGGTACCGGTAATTTTGGAGGAACTAGATACCTGTAGGAGTGCCTATTTTACTCCATGTGGAGCAACTAGCTCACTTGATAGGCAGTGTTGGCTTGATTAGGAATAAGTTAAAGCATGTTACTTGACCACAGTGTCATTGACCACATATCTAAGGTGTCTGTTTGATTGAGTTCATCTAGATGTAAAGTTTCAAAGGTTAAATATTTAAAGTGCAAAATTTCACATTCTTTTACCCAGATTCTGAAATCCTTCTCCACTTTTTAGTTAATTACTCTGCCGTAGAATTTTGTCGTACTGTAGTTTCGTATATGTTTACTTTTATGTGCTTTCGTGAAGTGTGACCACTTGGAAAACTGTATATTCTTTGCAGAGTTCTACATCACGTCATTCACTCAGAACGCCTCAAAGTGACATTAACCTTCAAGGTGGAAATGTGAGGCTAACATAGTACACAGCTGCGTAGACATAAGTAGTCATAACTACTTTACTAAGTTAGTAGACTGATCAACAAGCACATTCAAATCACCCTAACCTGTACTTGTAATTATCTGCGGCTTTCATGTGTTTGAAATCACTTACAAGTGAGCACTCGAGAGCTAATTCATATGTTGCAAATTTGAATCATATAAAAATTTGTGGCATTCGGCCTTAACTCTAGTGACACGAATTGACCGCTTACCATGGGACAGTCTCGTCGACTTGAAGTGTGCGGATGATATCGTTCTTCTAGGTGAAGGTGCTGACAAAGTGCTGTTTTTTGCACATCTTAAGCAGAAATCTTGGTATGAATGACCAGCAGTTCACCCATATCAGACGTAAAATGATGTAGCTGAATCAGTGTGCACTGACCCCTAATATATAGAAATATGAAATGAAGCAGTTAAGCATGTTTAAAAAATTCACTTGTTTGGAAAGTCCTGTCAGTGCTAACGGACTGATTGTTGACGGAATCTCAGCATGGATACAAAATGTTCTGGCTTAGAGGTGATATGTGCCTCATGCCGAGCCGTCGCCTTCATCGATGGACAGTGTTAACTATCTTAAGTCAGAACTTCTTATCAATCCATGAACTCTGACTAGTGCTTTGAGCTAACCACATGGGAAAGTGTGGACTATCTGGTTTACATCTTCTAGATTCAAAGAGCTAATGGTGTGAGACTGTCGGTGGAACGGCTTGAAATCGTTCTCAATGACGCAGATGTATTCGCTGTTTGTAATTTTCAGACATCATGTGCGTCGGTGGCATAGCAGTTAGGACGCTCGCCGAACATGCACATGGTCCGGGGTTCGATCCCCGGCCGGCGCACTCCTTTACCTCGCTAAGCCAGAAATAATGCTGGTGAAGAAGAAAGGTTGGGCATGAGGTTAGCAACCGCATCCTGTAAAATAAACACTGCTACAGAAACTTCAAGCCACTAGCTTGAAGCCCTATGTTCCACTGGGAAACGTGAAGAAAAGAAAATTTTCAGACATCAGATTCTCATTATTCCCCAGTATATTTCCGTTTATCATGGTTGCATCGAGTTTTTGCTGTAGCTTTGTGCTATATGGGGTGTGGCAACTTAAACTGCTACTGTTGTATGCAATGCTCTGCGTTGGTAACAGTCAGGTATTCCAGCTTGGCTGCTGTGCTCAAAACACTATGAATCATGTGTATTCATTCCTTATCGGCATCCAGATTCTCAAACTGGTGACTCACCATTGTTCAATTATTTCCTTTTACACATCTTTCTCCATGGTCGTTTCGTTAAGTTTCTTTCGTCTGCTAATGTGTCCTTTCCTGTAATGTTGAAACTTAAAATGTGCAAAGTTCCACGTTGTCTGTCTGTCTGGATTCAACATAGAACTTGGCACCGAAGTGCAGCAGTTCAAGTTGCCACGTTCCGAATAGCACACAAAGGTAGACAAGGAGATGAGAGAAGAGAATCAGTAGAGTTTTGGCAAGTATAAGAGTGAAACAGAATGAATAATGGTAGAAAGGAATATGAAAGATTACAGAGACTGAATACATCTGCGCCATTGACAACGATTTTGAACCATGTCACCTATTGTCTCCAGCCATTGATTCTTAGAGTCCCGAGGGCCCCAACCCGGAAGTCTGATTCAACGTTGTGTTTATCAGTCACTAACAAGACTCAACTTAGGGGTCTTGGCGACTAGTCCCTATCATACAGCATGCCTAACAAACACCCTATCAAATCGCTAATTGTAGCCGATGTCGATATGTTATGCAGGTAGTGCCACTGTCAACCAATGCCATCAATGGGTCTCTATCTGGTAAGCCCCACCATTCACGGGACATTGTTTCAAAAACCAATGTTTGTTAGTCTTTTCATATTCTGCCTTTAAATGCAACATTCCAAACTAATGTATGTACACAGAATCTGTTGATACATAGAAATATTGTGTTTAAACATGACTAAAATTTTGTTTTATATTGTTACGAGTAACTAATAGATATAGGAAATTGATAGGTACATGAAATCGTTAGTGATAATGAATAGAGTAAGCACATGCAAATTAATGTATGGTCATGTCAAAACATAATTACCATTGAATATCAGGTAAAGTGAAAGTAAGGATGAATAACAGCAATATTGTGGGGAACGGAATAGATTGATGCCGAAATCGCAATGACACGGATTGCGATGAGTTTCACGGTATTTCTCATTGTGACTTTGAAATGTACTAAATCTCAGTATTTCACGAGTCACAAGACAACGAATTCACTATCTACAGTGTAATTACACGTGTAACCAAAACCACTAAAACTAAACCTCATTATCTGCACAAAAGCCTGAGTCCTGGAAAGGCTATGGATTCCACTCAGATTCTCGTTATTACAAACAATAAGAATGGGGATCGGAAACTCGCAGTTGTATTCGCATGAATTAATGTATTTTAATCGATCGTGTACCAATGTTTTATTTATAGCGTATCTGCACAACTGTGTTCCCAAGCCATTTTTTAGACGTCACCGGTTGTCATATTGCTTACATTTATTATTGATATAAGTATAAAACTTGGGCACTGTGGTAGAGTGTAACTCCATTATGGATAAGATTTTATTTTGATAAGTCACACAGTGTTACACAGTAAGTTGTGTGAGTAACGATATGATTATGAGCAATAATTTGTGCTCGAAACGTCGTCAGTTAATATTACTGTGTAACACTGTGTGACTTATCAAAATAAAATCTTATCCATAATGGGGTGCTTACATTTATGAACTGTCGTCCAGCTGAAAAAAATCAGAATAAGAAAAAGGCGTGATACTTGTCGTTACCCTTTCTCCACTTATGCACCGACAGACTGTCCTTCACCACCACTAGACCCTGTACCTGATATTCTTGTCAGCGAGTATCTAGTTGGCGACTAAGAGCAAGATGCTTGTATATGATCGTCTCATGAATTAAAGTGGTATTAATTTTCAAGTAGAGAAGCTAAGCCAGTCCAAAAACATGTCGGTAGTATATACAAAGTTTCATGTGGAGGAAGTGACCATTACCCTGGTTAGAAACTGTTTGACCTGACATCAAATCAACGACGGACACAGCTAAATCCCTAAGCCAAACTATTAGAAGAAAATGATGGTAAAAGACTACTGCTCCTTTTATGCAGTAGTTCATGGGCTTGTCCTTCTGTGGCTAAACGAAAATAGATAACGGCTGAAATGTTGGAGGGAAACATAGAATGCGAAGAATCTTACTGAAGGTAGTGGTGAACTATGCAAGGTCAGATTTCAGGTAGAGATCCGGTGCATCCTACTGTGGTATTATCTTACACCGATAATTTGGTAGTTCTCCAGGAATGAGTTTTCACCTACAAAGTTTTCGTCAGCTTTGTGTTTACGGTACTAGTCACACCGCTAACATACTATGAATGATATTACTTCCTATATCTCGATTTAATAATTGTTGGTGTTCCTAAAGTATTCCGCCTTGCTTGTACTATAACTTTTCTTGATATAGAAATGGATATTCAGGCACTGTAGTAGAGTATAATCCCATAATAGAGTAATTTTATTCGATTTAGGGCAAACATGGTATTATTCATTCGTCAGTTGATGAACAGTACTGTTTTTTGGCTATGTTCTATCAAATAAAATTAATATTTAACGTGTTCTTTTTATCTCGAGAATTGTTTTGTATTCTGTTTAGAGGAATATCTCTGCCGATGTCACCTAAGCCTAGTCGAGTATGAACTTATTTTAACGGTAACATGGAATAACCCTGTCCTATACAATCTGATTTCATGGTTAATGATTTTTAAAAATTTCCTTGCATACCGTAACATATCTCGTTAATAATTTAACTTATCTCTTTCTGTCATAATTTATCTGTAGGCATGGAACAGGCAAATACAATTGCAGACGACAGCAGCAGTACCACTATGGTCCCCCATACAAATACAGATTCTAACCCAGGGAACTCTGTTGTTGACCAAGATAACAAGACAGAATGTATATATTGCTCCGAGAACGCAGAGTCTGAGTCGGGTCAACGATCTTGTCAGCATTGGACTCAAGTGCGCTCATTTAATAATAGACAGGCACAAAAGAAAAAACTCAGAGGACTTCAGAATGGTCACCCTGAACCTTCTCGTTATAGCAACAGTCGAAATACTAAAGAAAATATGAATATGCAACGTCATATTGCTAATAGTAATTCAGCTGACGGACTTAGTCTGCGCGACGCAGCTGAATCCAATGCACCCAATACAGCTTCATCACGCTTCAAATGTGATAGACCTTTGCCTTCAAATAATAGGAATATGTCACAGTCTAATACGGAACCAACAAAGTCTGTGGCTTCAAATTCATCCTCTCCAGTTCCTTCCGTTTCGTCAGACCTTCCAAATGGACATGAATATGGTGATAATAGAACATTCCCGAGATATCCACATAAGTCATCACGTTCATTTCGGTCTGTCAATCAAAGTGTAGACGCAGAAGACATAAATAGTCCACGCTCAAATAATTCTCCTGTCACTACTGGTGGTGCCAACATGAGGAATCGACCTAACATGAATCGATCTAGTGTAAATATGCCACCTCAGTCTGGGCCAGCCACCAATGCTCATCAAAATGGTCCATGTGATCAATGGCGACGTCCTAGCAATAATGGGAGTTGGAGGAGATCGCATCACACACTTCCTTTTGCACCTCGCAATTCTAACCAGTTTCATCGTTACAATGGACCTGGAAACCATCCTGTTCGACCACATCAGAACAATTTCTCACGGAATCGTATTTCTGGTCCTGGAATGGGAGACTCACCTCCCACACAAACAGGTGATTCTCCAAATCATGCTTCCAACGAGTCAAACCCACAACCTGATAATAAGAAACAAGAAAATGTAAAGAAACCACAAACATCTTGGGCTGCGGCAGTCGCTGTGGGAGTTCAATCTGAAGAAAAATTAGGTACACCTGGAGATAATTCACGAATCCAACTGGTAAACTTCCTTCTAGACCAATGGCGATGTTTTGACCGGAAATCATCGTAATTTACATCCATCCAATCCCGCCACCACCACTACCATCCCCTGCAACTTTTTTTTAAAGTATGAATTTTTTTCTACTAACGATTAAATATCCTCCTCTGATATTGTTCTGTGTTGAGAGGGGATGTTTTACCTGTGTGTGTGTGTGTGTTTGTGTGTGTCTATAAGTTAAATAAAAATAGATCGCATGAATTTTGTATAACTGTCATAGATTTAAAGTTTATGTAAAAACCCCTTTCATATATATATAGATTTGTTTTCAACACTTTTCGTATATGATACATTTTTCCTTTTTTTTTCTTTTCTTTTTCGTCTTGTTCTCTTCATGCGATTAATTTGACTGACTAAAACAAAAATTTTACATTTTAACAAAATAACTTCTACAAAAGGATCCAGTCTTCAGGTAACATTCCTTATTATTCTATTACTTACTATTCACTATCGCTATTATTATTATTATTATTATTACTATTATACACTCTCATAAAATTATTGTATAACAACAGTACAGATACGTACGTATACGACTAGTATTGTTTCTCCAGTAAATTAGGAAAAAATAATGCAGGTCTCTTCGTCTTCTTCCTGTTCCTCATTCTCTTTTTCTTATGACTCTGAGTTTACTTTGTTAAAAATAAGACATCTTTTTCTCAATACTATATATATATACGTATATTTCGGCTTTGTATTTTGGACTGCATGGTTGAACATGTTATATAATCGCTTTTATTACCATTATTATTATTACTGTTATTATAATACTAGTTATTATTATTATTACTCATCCCAGAATGACTCTATTATGTTTATCTTCTTTTGAATTTTCTGTTCTTTGTGAGAAAACAACAGTAATCGAAATTCCCCACCTCTCTCTGTCTCTGTCTGCTTATATATGTGTATTCAAGAGAGGGAGGTATTCTCAACAGCTAATCTCTTCTAAAATCTGTTTATTTTAAACTATAATTGAATTTTCGCATTATTTTTCATCACATAGTTCATAGAGGTCCACACTAACACTGCACACGCGCACGCACTTACACACATAAACAAACACACATCCACTTGTACTGCTAAAACCCTTTGAAAGTGAGTTTAACATGTGTTATGTAAGAGGAAAAGTGAAAGAAGGTAAGGTAAGGAGAGGTGAACACATTACATTTACATATATACATATATATCTTCTCCTTAGCAATTTTTTCCTTTCTTATTTTTATGCTGTTTTGTGGTTAAATAAAAAGTTGGTAAAATGCCTATTATTATTATTATCATCATTATATTATTAAGATACTTCTTTGGTACTAATACTACTACTACTACTCATGTCTTACCTTCTGTTCTAAAGGTATACTCTTATTCGACATACCTTTTGTTGGTTTCTCCTTCCTGTCCTCTTATTTGTCCTGTCGCTCTCTCTCCCTCTGCGAACAGATGTGTTTTTCTTTTTTTGGAAAATTCAGATATTTGGATAACTGTTGTTCTTTTTTCTCTCTCTCATTTATATTCCACAGCTTTCATGATGTATTCAAAGTGCTTGGAGAGGAAAAGAGGTACAGTAGTGAGTAGTAGTCTCGTCAGATAGATGGTTTAAGATAGCTATTGTAGAGAGAGATGCGTTATGTCATCGTTTGTTGTTTAGTTCTGTATTTAGTGCATAGTATTAACGAGTTTCGATTCAAATCTCGTCGTAGTGTTTGTTTGTTTGTTGTTTAACTAAGATTCATGCGCACACTACACTTAGAAGTGAAGACGACAGGTTGTTGTTGGATAGTGTGATTATCCCCATTTCTAGTAGATGTTTTCAAACCCAACCTTAATGACCCTTTAGTTTCTCTGGAGATAACCGCCATGGTTTAGCGAGAACAGGTGGGCTGTTCGTCATGATGTGATGAAGTGAAATTGGAAGTTATACAAGGGACACTAAGATTAAGTTTGAAAGTGTCAGCAAGAGATTGGATTATAGTAGAGTAAAGACGTGTTATCAGTGGAATACACTGGAGTGAGAGGAGTCCTATGAGTGACTGTACCAGGGAATTAATCAACTTATGCTTTCCAGCACCTACCAGGAACTGATAGTGCTGCTGGCATCTCGAGCCATGGATGTTTATTGTGTTTCGGAGACACGCATACAAGACCCGAGTGTGGTCATTCATTTAACCTCACCTGGCCAACAAGGTGAATATGCGAAATTCACTCTAAGGGTGTTAGGAGACCCCTCAGCTAGTTCGCGAGGACTCGCAGGTGTAGGGATAGCTTTGAGTGTTAGGGCAGAAAAATCTCTTCTTGACTGGATCCCAGTAGATAGTCGTATGTGTGCGGTCCGTTAGAAGAAGGAAGGACGGCGTTACCCGTCGTTGTCTTTTCGTAGTCTCCGCTTACGCCCCAACAGAATTCAGTTCGGATGAACTAATTTGCTGCAAAAAGCAAAACGTTCAGATATAGTTGTTTTAGCAAGCGACTTCTATGCCGAATTAGGGAAGTTGTGCCAGACTGAGATGTATGGAGTTCCTTGCCAACGAACCGACAACGGTGATCGTCCTCTACAGTTCTGTTCAGATAATCATCTGTTCCTAGTCAGCACTAACTTTAGACACAAAGAGAGACTGCGTAACCTGGCGACCTCCATCACCAAATCAACGCTGGACTCAGATAGACCACATAGCTATAGGGTATCGTTGGTGAGGGTCAGTAGAAGACTGTCGCTCCTTCTGGAACACGTGCGTTGACTCCGATCACGCTCTGGTCCGCGCACGTTTATGCTTACGACTAAACGGACATAGGAAATTGCTGGCAGCGAAACAGTTACGTCCCCAACTAGATCGAGACACTGAGTCCCTATTTAAGGAGGAAATAGCGAAACGTGTATCTGAGGTCGACAGCAGGACTCCCCCTGAGGTAGCCTGGCACAACATACAGTTAGCTGTAAAAGCTGTTAATAACCTAAAATCAAAAGTTAGTAGAAGCAATTGGATCTCTACCGACTCATTCGAACTGGTTGACTCAGGAAGACTGATTCCGGTGAGCTCCGATTATGATGAGGAGCGAAAGCTACTCAAACACAAACTAACAAGAAGCCTTCGTAACGACCGTGAACAGTGGTAGATGACAAAAGCAAAAGAGATGGAAAAGGTATCGGCGACTGGTAACACCAGACAACTATTTAGACTTATCAGGGAAACAGGTGGTAAAAGGCAAATGATAAGTGAAATAATCTCTGAGAAAAATGGCACCATAATTATCTCCCAGGATAGACTGGAAGAACACTTTGAGGAGCAGTTCAATTGGCCTACAGCCACACTCAACTTACCGAACATCCAACACCTCCCTGAATGGGATATAGACACAGGTCCTCCGTCCCTAACTGAGGTTACTAAAGCTGTCACTAGTCTGAAACAAGGCAAAGCAGCAGGACCTGGTGGAATGACTCCAGAGGTATTTAAGTACGGTGGGAACAGTTTACAGCCTGCGTTAACTGAGGTACTAGGAAACGTCTGGGAATCAGAGATAGTCTCGTTAGGCTGGTGTAAGTCATTGATTATCCCGATATACAAGAAGGGAGACAAGTCTTCCTGTGATAATCACAGGGCGATTAGCTTGACTAATATGGTATCTAAAGTTCTAGGCTCAATAATCATGTGTAGACTAAGCGGTCCACGGGAGGTTCAAACACAAAAGAACCAGGCAGGCTTTAGACCAGGAAGAGGGTGTATTGGTCATATCTTCACCCTTCGACAGATGCTGGAACAAGGCATACTTACCGTCGGCGTCCAACAATCGTCATATTTTTTGACCTGAAGGCGGCATTCGATTCCGTCGACCGAGAGATACTATGGCGATGTTTGGCTGTAAAGGGAATGCCGAGGAAATACATTGCACTGATCAAGGCAATCTACTCGAACTCATGCAGCTAGATGAGAGCCTAAGGAGAGTGGTGACAACTAGTGATGTCCGTCAGGGATGCCAGCCCACTGTCCCCATTTCTGTTTAATTGCATCACTGATGTAGTAATGGACTTAACCCTAACTCACTTCAGCGACTCAGGGATTGACTTGCTACCAGGGAATAATCTCGTTGACTTAGAATATGCAGACGATATAGTCCTTCTAGGCGAGGACGCTGAAAAAATGCAGAGTCTTCTGAACACCTTGAGCTGCGATCTACGAGTGTTTGGCATGCGATTCGCTCCCGTCAAATCTAAGATGTTGCTACAGGACTGGACTACATTGACTCCTGGTTTAGAAACAGGGAGTGAAGTGGTGGAGTACGTTGACCACTTCACTTATTTGGGAAGTACCATCAGCCCCAACGGGTTGATCTCTGACGAAATCTCAGCCGTCTCTGGCGTAGACGTGATATCCGGCTATCGACCAAAGGGCGTGTGTACTGCTCACAGTCCACTCCGTCCTCCTTTATGGCTGAGACGTGGCCATTGAGACTGGAAGACAGGAAAAGACTAGCTGTCTTTGATCATAGGTGACTGCATTCTATCTCCCATGTGAAGTGGTATAATAGGGTGAGCAATATTGAGGTTAGACTCCGAGTGCTAGGTAAGAAGGGGAAATAAATCGACTAGGCTGTGAAGCTACATCGACTGAGATGGTTAGGACATTTGTTACGCATGCCTTCCTCGATAACAGGCAATGTTAGCTGACATAGGGTCAGGCTGGAAAAGAGCTAGCAGTGGTGGTCAAACCAAAACATGGCTTCATCAGTCAATGAAATCCACAATAGTTAGTTTAAACCACGTAGGGAGGTGTAGACTTCCTAGTTGGGGTCCTCAGGACGGTAAAAACCAATAGCTGGAGACAATCGGTGATATGGCTCAAAATCGTTCTCAGTGATGGCGCAGATGCATCCACTCTTTGTGACATATAATTTCCAATGAAATTATATTATTCTTCGTTATTACTATTCCTTTTGTCTTATATCCCTGTCTACTGTCTCCATTTTGCATTTCTTCTCTTGCTTTGTGTGCTACATGGAGTGTGGCGACTTGAACTGCTGCACATCGGTGCAAAGTTCTATGTTGAAAACAGACAGACAGTGCTGCAAGAGATCCATAGCAGTAATGCCAGTAGTTACATCGGCCACGATAAAATACCGACAGAAAGATCTGCGCAGTTGTGACGAGCGGCGCGTAGTTGTTAGAGATGTTAGTCGCAAACGCTCTTCTCTGTTGTAGGCGGGATTATGCTAACTTCTACCCCAGCGGCAACCAGGAAGCAGATCCAAGGGTTGCGATCAGTGACATACGAAGAGGCGGCAAGGGAATGGTTCAACGGAGACGTTAGTTGCCATTATGTACCGGCACACATGTTTTTCGACTGGCTAGTGTCAAAAGTGCAGGGACAAGTACACTTTCAACGAGAATGAATTATCAGATATTGTTTGAAGTTATTTAGTCTATACCTTTAGATAATGAAAATGTTCTTCAAGGTTATCAGATGAATATTCTACATTCTGTAATATCTATGCAGAGTTTGCATAATAAGATTTTCCGTCACAGTAAATCTTTATTTGGTTGGAGGATTCCATCATGAGCTGACATCAGTTAGAGAACCATTTAAAAAAACCAAACCAGGGAGTACTGGACAACTGTTTCGTCCTAGTTTGGGACTCTTCATGAGTGCGCATCCACCGGGGTTCGAACCCAGCACCTTTTGGTTACAAGTTGAGACACTGGGACCCGATCCAATGGCCCATGAATTCTGCCAATTCATGACATAGCACGACCACTAAGACGAAACAGCTGTCCAGTACTCCCAGGTTTTCTAACTGATGTCAGCTCATGATGAAATCCTCCAACCAATCAAACAAAATCCCTAGAAAGCCAATACTTGAAAATCTTTATTTCCTGTGTTTGGAACACACTTTATTTTCCCATTTGATTTGCACGTAAACTGAGTAGCCTTCATTACTCAGATATTATGAATATTTCGTTCACAGCGAAATAATGACTGCTGCAACATTAATCTCTGGCTAGTAAGCCTCAAATATTTTGAACACATGAAGAACTTGGCATTATACTAAATTCGATTGTAATGAAGTTCTTGTATTTCTGGTTTCCTGAGATAAGGTACTCAATCTCCAAGAGAATATGAATACAATTACACAAGGAGTTGGTCTCCAGTGTTTGGATGTAGCCTCACTGTTTGTTGTGTGGTTAAGTATTTTTTTGGAATAGATAATAAAACTACCAGACTCTTTGGTGGATATGTAATCTCTACTTTTTAATTCCTAGGCAGCGACTGTCTGATGATTGATTATTATTATCTACTATGCGTTTGAGCTATTTAACCTCCGACATCAATTTCTGTTTATCCTAGTACTCTCAGTTGATGAATAAGCAAGATTCAGCTTGTGAGAAAGACAGACAGAGAATTCACGATATGCTAGCAGTGAGTAGCTGTGTTATTTTGTCTTCTGGATACAGATTTGCCTACTGTTTTCGTTCATCTAACTGCCATTCCAT